GAGCATTTTGAGCATGGGAATAGAAGTGGTGTGATCATTTTGTATTGTCACTCCTGCTTGACAGAATAAAGAAGTATTGATTAGAAGGGGAGCAAATGGATACCTGTGRTATTGAGAATGAAGATATGTAAGAGAAAATCTGTATTTATTGGGTATGAGGAATTAGAGAGAGTGAGAGAGGAGTGAAGAGCAAGTCCTCAGTGTTGGCTTGGACATCTCTACTGAGATGGAAAAATTCTAGAAAAGGAGAAAACTAAGGGAAGTGAATGCCAATTTCAGTTTAGAATTCTGTTATGTTTGAGTTGTCTGTGAGAAAGCCAAAATAACACACTAGCAGTATATGAAAAAAAGAGTGTAAACTCAAAATTTAATTGATGAATCCTTTGTTGTTTTTACCCACAAACATACTGGCCCACCTCTTCAGTATTTTTRGTATTCTGACGTTACAAATGTTCATTAATGTATTTTCAAGTAGATCTATTTAGCTACTTGAACAGGTGCCTAGAGAATTTCCATGGGACAACATTTTTTTTTTTTTTGTCTTTAGGGGTCTTTTCCTTTGAAACTTATTTTGTTCTTTTTCTTATCATGATTAGGAATTTCTTGTGATATAGAGGAGAGTGTTAAGCCATGGGAAAGCTAGCTATGGGGAAAAGATGAGTRGGATTATGAACAAGGGGTTCCCTGGAGCAGAGGGAAACTTTGATTAGAGATAATATTGTGTCAGAGGGAACTGTGGACGGTATTATCTTGTGACATGGGAGTGTCTTTTAGCAAATTTAACACAGATGCTCTTCACCTCATGATGGAAACATCCTGACATACTCACCATAAATTCAAAGACTAAGCAAAAAAAAAAAAATGAATTTAGTACGCCTACCCTACCTAGTTGAGCAATACAATGCTCTGTGGAGTATGGGTTGCTACCCTTGTGATTACATGGATGKCTGGGACCTGCAGTTCCCTGCCATGGCCTAGCACTGCAAGACTATTACACTTTACATCACTAGATAAGGAAAAGATAAAAGTTCAAAGTACTGTTTCTACTGAATGTATAGTGTTTTTACACCATTCTAAAGTAAAGTAAAGAAAACAAAACATGATTTGAACCTGTAAGTCAAAGAAGGTCTTCAAAGTATCTTAGATGGCATGACTGAAGAGTATATCTAGTGGGAGACAGTAGGGGTGACTAGAAAAATAGCTCTTAGTAAATGTTCAGAAATGACTAGCAAATGAGACTGCAAGGAATTCTAGAGATAGAGAGCATGATGAAGAAAGACACAGGAACTTGAAATAGCTTGGGCTTCTGTTTATTAGGACAGATTGGTTTCAAACAACAGAAAACTCACCCCAAACTTGTTTGGGGAGTAGAAAATGTATTGCCTTAGTTAGATAAGCCAGGAGGTTTAAAATATGATGTGACTAGAATTCCCATTCTTTATTATTTTAAATTTATATTTCATGGTTATGATTTCTTCAGTGTTGGCCTCATTCTTAAGGAAACTGCTTGCTTGGCTGGGTGCAGTAGTGTACTCCTATAATCCYAGTGGCTGGGGAGGCTGAGGCAGCAGAATTGCAAGTTCAAAGCTAGCCTCAACAACTTAGTAAGGCCCCAAGCAACTTAGTGAGACCTTGTCTCAAAATAAAATATAAAAAGACTCAGCAACTTAGTGAGGCCCCAAACAACTTAGTGAGACCCTGTCTCAAAATAAAATATATATAAAAAACCATGTTGGACATGTTGCTGTGTGGTTAAGTACCCCTGGGTTCAATTCCTAGTACTGCAAAAAAGAAAGAAAACTGCTTGTTTGTGGTCTCAGAATGGCTCTAGCAGGACCAGGCAATAAATGTTTTAAGACTGAAGTTACTCAGATTTTCCATCTTGGTACCCAAACACTTCCTCATGTTCTCTTTTCTCTGACTTGTTTATGTGCTTATTCTTGAATGACTGGCAGGGCATAGGGCCACAGTGGTAGCTTATTGTTGGAATTGGGAGTGAGGTCTATCTCACTTAAATCACACATGTKCATACTTGTGAAAGGGGTTTTATTACAAACTACATCTCTCGTATAATTTTATAGTTGGTGGGAGTTGGAAGCAAGTCAAAAGCTATAGATGTCAACTTCATCTACTGCTTTAATGTCAATATTGAAGGAAACCACAATTCATAATTATTTACAACCACTTACTGTGTACATGCTAAGTGCGAGGTACTTTAGCTCAATGGATATGGGTCTTAGCTCTCAGAGAACTTTCTCTTTTTTCTTTTCTTTTTTTCAAAGAGAGAGAGAGAGAGAATTTTTTAATATTTATTTATTTTTTTTAGTTTTCGTCGGACATAACATCTTTGTTTGTATGTGGTGCTGAGGATCGAACTGGATGTCTTATATTCTGGATAGAAAATGCATAAAAACACAGAGAATGAAACAAAATCATGTATAGTCTTTCCTTCATAAAACCAAACATTAAGATATATATTTTTATGATACTATTATATATTATATTATCTATATTATATATGATATATAAATAAATATATGTAGATATTATATGTAATCATCCTAGGCAACATTCTYTGTAACTATATATGTGTACTACATACATACCACTATATGAATTTTGTTGGGTTGTATGAACATTTCCTCYATTTGAATATTCTATTAGAAATAGTTTAAAAAGATGCATACTATGGCTTCATGTGGATAGACAAACGTAATCAATTCCAAGTTACTGGGAGTATAAATTGTTTTCATTACTTTTTCCCATATAAAATCACATTCTTTTTTAAATGTTTTTTTTAGTTGTCAATGGATGTTTATTTTATTTATTTATATATGATGCTGAGAATCAAACCCAGGGCCTCACATGTGCTAGGCAAGTGCTCTACCACTGAGCCACAACCCAGCCCTAAAATCTTGATTATGTTTTTGCCAACATCATTGTATTAAATCTGAAAGCCAATATAGTGCTTAAGAGTGCTTGGACTCAGGAGGAAAGCCCTCTGGGTTTGAAGCCTTCTCGGCTACATACTAACTATAACGCTTGAGGAATCCCAAACGTTTTTTCTGACTTATAGTTTCTTTTTCATTATGGATTTAATAATTTCTCTGCTAAAGTAATCATAAAGATTAAGTGTTATTCTAAACATAAATGCAGTGGTGCCTGACCTGTAATAAGAGCTCAATTACTGTTGTTTCACTATCACTGATTTTTAGGAAAATTCTTAAGAAGTAAAATACATAAAATAGCTAAGACAAAATATTAAATATTTTAAATATTAGTTACACATATATTATAGCCTTATAGAAAGGTTGGAGAAATTTGGAAGAAGGTTGGAAAATTGTCAATAATGAGTATTTAAAATGATCATTATCAATTGTTGAATGGCTAAAATAGTATACAATATTTTTTGTTTTTACTTTTTGAATATAACCATTGAATATTTTTCATATGCTTAGTGACAATTTATGTTCCATGAATTATCTGCTTATTTCTACTGGCTATTTAAAATGCTTTCCTTGTAGCAACATTTATAGAATAAGAATAGAAATCTTCTCATAATTCAAAAATTTCCCCTGTTATTTGCTTTTTTATTCTACATTAGTTTTTTTTTTGTGTGTGTGTTCAATCTATTGTTTTTTTTTCCCTGCCTTTTCTTATATATTTACATGGTTTTCTTAGTCCCACTTGGATAGATACACAGATATGTTTCCTTCTATGTTTTAAAATACTTTTTTTCACATTAAAGCATATAATCTATGAAGAATTTGTTTTAGAGTATTGGGTTAAAAAAGTTTACAATATCATGTAATAAACATTTGTGTTATGATATATTTCTGAGTTTTAACAAACTACCATAATTATTTTAATCTATAATCTACCTAGTGGTTCAAATTCCTATACTGCCCCTTCTATATATAATGTTTACTATTCACTCAGTGTTTTGATCTTTTTTAAAWTTTTCTCTCTTAATACTATAAAATTATGAACCTGTATAAAATAATTCTATTTCTGATGCCTACTGCTAAGATATTTTCTAAATGAACAATATTTCATTTTCCCTATACCTCTACTAATTTGAGTTCTGTACAAGAATATCAAAAACACTTGGACACAATAAATCAGTTGCTGTCAGAAAGGTTTATTGAAGAAAAATTAGCAAAGTAAAAACAGACCCATTTAGAAAGTCTGTGTCAAAAAACAATGAAGATATATGTCCTTGAATTACTAATCAAGAGCATAAGAAGAGGGCGATATTCAATGTTTAAGACCTGAAAGAAATTGACAAAAATTCAGGATACACATTTTAACAGGAAGAAAATTAAATTGATTCATATATTAATACATAGTATTTTGGATAAATGAACATATTTGCAAAATATTTTGTTTTAGTTTACATACAATATAAGAACCCTATCTTATTTTTTAATCTTACATGTGGTATTAATCAATTACTGAATAGCATTAATTGTTATATCAGTGAAGGTTGAAAATATATTTTTAATAGAAGAGAATTATTGGTGGGTTACTAATGAAGAAAAATGTTTAGAATATGCACTTCAGACGATTTTTTAAGAACATTTTTAATACTACAGTAATTTTTGAGTTATTAATTTGATTATCTTCATATTCTAAAATGTAACATTAGGGATTAATTAAAATGGCATGGATAATTAATTATAGCAGGAAGAGAATTCCTTTCTTGCTTTCTTCATACCTAGAGGGCTAGTATAGTGCATTTTTTATTGAGATAAATAACTGTTAGATAACTCAAACTTCAAACTTTGTAATACTAGTTTACTGCCATTTCTTTAAATTTCCATAAATATACTGTGCTATGTGACTCTATTCATAAGCCTTGCATTTTCTAACTCTAATACTTGCCTGAAATGCCCATATTCTTTCATTTAAGATTTTTGCTTGTTGAAAAAACTTCTGAGATGTTAAGACTAGTTGTCTAGATTATTGCACAATTCTACATGGCATCCCTTTTGCTATTTTTAAATCATGAACTCATCTGGATCTTCTTTTAGTAGTTTAAAGACACCCGTTTCATCTGCAGAAGTGTCTTCTTTTTGGTTTGTGATATCTAGTTCAGGGGTAATTCCAGAAAGTGACTCAGTGACCTTGACAGATTCCACTGTATTATTTTCAGGTGTATCTTCTGTTTTGTTAGTAGCTGGTTCTCCCAAAAAGCTCATAGCAGCTGATGCAGGCACAATGAAGTCATATCTGGATTCAACAGCAGTAAGTAAAACAGAATGGGTCTCTGCTTCATTTGCCATGCCTCTCTCTATCCAAACATTGACTTCATCAGTAGACTCTTCATCATCAGTTAGATTATCTTCTGGGTTGTCTTTGTCTTTTTCAGCAGAGGCAGTAAGTTCAAACACTGTAATAAACTTTTCTTCATCAGAGTCAGTGACTTTCGTAAAAGAACTGGGGTCATCCTCTGAAGCAATTAGGTCAATTTCAGTTATGTTCTCTTCTGCAAGGTCAGTTATGTCTGGAATGGTGGTGAAGTTTTTTTCAGTAGATGGAGAAATTTCAGCTTCAGGAATAGAGGAATCAGTAACTGGGACAGCCCCATCAGAAGGAACCTTAGATTTGTTTGAGGAATTAGTCTTGCTAACTTTGATTTCAGGGGTATCAGCAACCCTGGCAGTGCTGTCCTGTAGTGTGCCAGAGACTTTGGCAATCATGGAGATATCTTCACCTTCTGCATTAATGGTAGCCAAGACGATATCTTCTTTTGCCTTGCTGGCGGAAAAATCTATTAAAGAAACTGTAGCGACTGGGGATGAAACATTTCCAATTTTCACTGGAATGAAATTTTCAGTAATAGAATCCTTAGCTATGGAGTGTGTAGTGCCAGTCAGAGTAGTAACTTCTTTTTCCAGATGAGTTGTTGACTTAGTCTGGGTCTCAATATCATCTTCTGATATGAATCCTTCCTTAGTAGACATAAGTTTGTTGACTGTAGTTGTTGAAAAATCACTTTCTAGCATATAGTCATTTACTGAAGTTATGTGGTCTCCTTCTGAAGTAATAGTTGTTTCTGACCTAGGAATAGTGTTCTCAGCCCCAAAGAAAATGGTTGCTTCAGGTGATGTTTTACTGCTTTCTGTTGGAGGATGAGAATAAATTTTAGGCAAACCATCCTCAGCCATGGGGTGAAGTGGCACTGTGCACTCTCACAGGTCTTTCTCCTGGGCTTAGTGGCATCCCTGGCCAGGAGAGTGGTGATTGAAGTGTTGGTCATCATGGTGATTGTTGCATCAACCACAGGGACAATGGCACTGCCTCACCTTGGAGGTGTTTCTTTGCTGTGATTGGACATCTACTTTTAAGAGTGTTGATGTTAAATGAAAAGAATGTTGCCTTCTCTGATTAAAAAATCAAAATTGATACCAAATATTTCAATTTCAGGGAACTGAGGATATATCATTCTTTTTATAAGGGATATGGCTTCTGATAGTTAGTGTCATTTGAAAAGATGTAGTCAAGTGCTTTGTGGGTTTAGAGTCAGTAGGGGAAACTCTCAAAATCATAAATTATCAGCATCAGCTTAAAGTCACCTCTCTTTCAAGTAAGTAGGAGTGTCTTTCTGAGGTAAAGTCATCTTCCCATGAGATTCTTGGTATTTAAGTGCAAAATAAAATAAAATAAATGGCACTTTTGACAGTGTAGCTGCAGAAGGTAATTAGTTAGCAGAGATTTCAATACCTTTTTCAGTAGGAATAATGAAAAATAAGGTATGGGCCCATTTGGATCTTTTCTGACTTCTTGACTTAATGTAACGATGGAAGTGTCAAGTTTTGTAGGTTTAATTTTCCTGGATGGAGTATTATTTCAACCTCATTTTTGATAGGGTTGGTATTATGTCTCAAAATTTACTCAGCATCAAGAATTAGGGTTTGAAATAGCTATATGATTTAAGATGTATATTCTCAAATTTCACAGGGAGTGTTTTTTATAATGATGTTAATCATGTCAGACATCATCATTGTATTATCAACCTTAAAATTTAGCTACTTAGATGAAAGGAGAGTGAAGTCTAATGTTAACACTTTAAAATGAGACTCTTCCCAGTTCTGTTAGAAGAAATGGAATTTTCAGACAYGTACGAGAAAGTCAGTAGCATCAGCCAGGGTAGTAGTTTCTGTCTCAAGGTCAAATGCATGTCTTTATTACATATGGACTCATTCTTAAAACTTACATCTTCATCTCTGGCTGGATAGCCTGACATAGATATATTCTCATTCTAAAAATGTCAGAATAGGTTTTAAGATGGACATTTGTCATTTTAAAGACAATGAGTAGCTTCTTGGGAAATGTTTTTGCTTCAAGGGATATCACTGTTAAGGTTTCTAATATCTTTATTGATATAGGAAATGCTGTCAGCATCATGGACAAGGAAGGAAGTCTAAAGTTAGTAATCAGCACAGGTTCTTCGTTTTTAAATTGAAATACTGTCAGTTCCAGGGGCAGTAGAAGAAGTTCCAAGGTTAAATCATTCTCTGAACTGGATAATTTAGTGGGGGAATTTTTTAACTTCTGTTTTAATTTTTTTCCCACCATCTAATATTTGTGAAGCTTAATTCAAGATTAAGACATGCTGTACACAGCTCTGATGGCCCCCCTTTTGGAAACATTTCTTTGTGCACAGAAAGGAAAAAAAAGATGAAACTATAAGCTGCCTAACTGCTGCAAGTCACGTTTTTAGGACTCCATATTTGTTATACTGAATAGACTTGGAATCATGAACAAAATATTCGCTTTTATGAGGCTTTAAGTTCTAGTTAGCTATGCCAGATAAAATGATTATATATTATCTTTACTGGTACTAATTTGTCAAGTAGTCTTTCGTTTCAAGGATTAATTTTGTAGTCATGCTAACTCTGCTTTTACTAGTATCACTATAAGTTGAAATCACATTGATTGAAGCACATTATTTCTCTTCTAGGGGAATGTTTTTATCATTATCTGTGTTTTCTAAACCATTGACCTTAAAAAGGACATTTCAGATTGAATATATGTCATCTAAGTATAAGAAATATATATGATATGAACACATACCAGTGTAACTTCACATCATGCACAACCACAAGAATGGGAAGCTATACTCCATGTATCTATGATATGTCAAAATACATTCTACTGTCATGTATAACTAAAAAGAACAACAAAAACAAAAGAAGTATATATGAAAATACTGGTTGGTCTCCAGGAATTTAGCAATCACTCTTAGGTTGAAACTGGAATCATCAGCTTCAGGGAATATAGTACACTCTTTTTTTGACCAATAGATCATTGCCCTTAAAGGTATTATCTGAATGAAGGACAGGGAATAAGATTACATAGGTGAGTTTTATTTTGTTGGAGGATAGGCTTAGTCGGTTTTGGGAGTATCTATCACAATAATTGGCATATTTTGTCCTTTCTCTGGCAAGTATTAAAATAGTATCTATTGACATATCTTTTAGTGCATATTTCTTTCTTATTTTGGCTGCTGTAGCAAAAGCTTGCTTGGTCCTCAGCTACCTTCCTTGCTGTATATTTTGAGGTGTTTGGCTATGTGGTTATGACTTCATCTAAGTACTAACTTTTTTAGGTTCATGGTAAAAACTCTTTTTTTCTCTCTTATGTGAAAAAGTGGAATCCATTAGCAAAAATGGGCAATTTCTCAATAACTGTTGAAAATCATTTCTTAATATATTTACACATAAAGACACATTTTGTTTTTCAAGGATACTTGACTAGGAAAAGCATCTTTAGAAATAGACTTTGAAAATGCCAAAGGCAGAGTGATGCCCACCATTGAGTCTTTCTCTGTATGGTGAATATCTTGAGATTCATCAGAAGACAGATCACGTGTAATTTTAAAAGAATCAACTGTTAGACAAGAGGTAACACCTATGGACTAGAATTCCTGTTTTAGAAAGAATTTATATATCTTCAGATTTTGTAAATTTATTGGAGAAATAGAGTCTTAACTTTAATTGAGGAGGTTAGTCATGGTAGAGTCACTGAGGAAGTTTCCTGTTCAATATCTTCAATCATGAAATAATTCTCATCTTCAGAAACAGTGAAAGGAGCAATCACATTTTGAGAATTGCTCATGTCAACATTCATATTTTTTACTTCTTTCCCTCCAGTGATTTGAATGTTGGGTGTATAACTAAGGAAATTATAATCAAAGGATGTCCTGCTGTCCTGTGGTGTCACTATTTCTTTGTTTCCAAGGAAGATGGTATTTACAGCAGGGTTAGTAATGACCCTCATATCTGCTTTGTCATTTGTAGATTCCTTGGAAATATCCTTTGGCTTTATTTTGTTTGCCTGTAACTGAGGAATATGAGCACTGAAAAAAGTGTTTTCTTCAACCTTCTTGTTTGTTTGTTGTACAGTAGAAATTTCCTGAAACCTAGGTAATATTTTTTCTATCACAATAGGTTCATGAATAATGTTCCTACTTTCCAAAGCTTGAAATTCTGAATTTGGTATTCCGAGATTAGCCATATTAAACTCCAAATGAGAATTTTCTCCCATCAGGGAAATGATCTCTGGATAAGATGAAGATATCTCACTAGCAGGAATAATAATTACTTCTGTGAACAAATTTAAATCCCTAGCCAAGGTGTTGGTTTTGTGAGGAACAGATGTAGCTGGGAGGAGAGAATCCTTGGGTATGGAAAAGCTTGAGTCCATGGCTTTGGAGACACTGTTATAATCTTTATTGACCAATTTATCATCAGCAATGAGATTTTTACTTGCAAGATAAGGATTTAGGTCAGTGTCTTGTAGAGGGTTTGTTTCCATCTTGATAACTTTATCATTTCTTAATATATCTGTGAGGTGATTTGCTTCAAATTCAGTAGTTGTGTCTTTCATTGTAGAGGCTTTACTTATTTCTTTTGTATAATAGAAATTTGGTTCAATATGTTCATTCGGAAAAAAAGTATAAAACTTGGTAATTGTTTTTTTGAGTTTTGAATTTTGATCATCAGAGGCATCAGCAGAAAAAAATTTATCCTTAATGTCAGTAGCAACAGATGTGTTTGGTTCAATATCTCTGATGTTGTCTGAAGAGCCAGTGAAATCATCTTGAGGAGTATAGATCAAGTAGAGAGCCTTTGGGATCATTTGACTTCTAGTATTTTGCCTTGTGGAGACCACACCATCATTGAAGTAAACAGAATCTGAAAACACAGATTCTGGTGCTGCTGTTATTAACGTTGTAGGGTAATATGGGTTTCCACTTTTTTCCAGTCTAAGGGCTGTGCTTTCTTTAGAAGGAGCATTAGCAGTTAGAATGGGAGTTTCAGGTAGTCCCAAAGGTATAAATCTTAGAGACCTGGCACCCTTTGATGATGGAAAACTTGAATGGCCATCGTTAATTTTGTCCTTAATGGAGCTAGCAGGAACACCTGGCATAATAGCAGACACCTTTCTCAAAGGAGAAAAAGAGGTGAGACCTGTGTTGATTGCATCTTCTGTATTTTCCTCTATGTTGAAAATGTCATCSCTGGAAATCTGAGCTAAAGGAAAATTACTAAATCTTGAATCAGATGCTACAACTAAACTTGTTTCATCTTCAGCAAGATTAGATATACTGGAGGTGGTAGTGTCTATTTCTCTGGGTGTAAATATCTCATAAATGGTAGGCAACATGTCTTTCTTGAGCAAGTTATAACTATTTTTGATAGTATGATTAGGAGTATCAGTTGTGAATGTCCTCTTTTTATCTGTGGGGGTTAGGCCTTGAAAAATGGAATTCTTGGTTATTCTTCTGTTTCCTAAGTCAGAGCTTTCAGAGAGAATAATGGTGTCGTCATCACCATTTGTTGTGCCTTTCCCCACAGATGTTTTATCAGAAAATATAGAAAGAAAATTTTTACTTGCATCAGTTTGGGAGTGCTTTGTGAATCTATGAACTTTGTTATTGACTTTGGCATTGAACTTTGCAAAAGTAATGTCAACCTTTTTGTTTTCTTTCATGGGAATTATAGCTTGGGAATTTCCTTTGGCTTTGAACTCTGAGGGTGTTGTTTTAAATAGACTGTCTGAAACATCAATTGTGGTATATAGTGTATTAGACCTTCTTGAATTGGGGACATAGCTGGGTGTACTCGTTTTTACAAAGAAATTCTTCACTTTATCCTCTAAC